TTTTGGTGGAACGCGCTGACTCACTCCACGATTATATTTATTCTTCGAGTGTATACAGTTGCTCCAGTCGTGCAACCTATCGTACAGCCAATTAGAAAAGTAGTAACGACTGTTTTTTCTGTAATACATCGATCAGCTTTACATCTCTACTTTACATGTATCTATGATCGAAGTGAATGATACTACCCATGTTCGATCGATCAATCGTTAAGAAAATCTAATGTTTTCTTTCTTTTATTTTATCAGAGAAGTTAATATATTAAGAAATTTATCTTATAAGTAGATTTAATCATATGCCCGTTTCAAAATTTTTATTATCAGCTTAACGTAAGCTTGAAACGTAATTGTGTACGTAATTCGGGTGAATAAAAAAAGTTGTTATGATGTATATGATTTTAATCACGTGTTTTTTTTTTTTTTAAATTTCCAGTGGCATCAATAATATTGAAGAACAGATAAAATATTATACGATATTACATCACCTGATTTATTGCTTGAAGACCAACGTTGATCGCAAATATTTTTTATTTTCGATAGGTTTTTTCCTCTTCTGTTTTCAAACCGAAGATCACTATAAATGTCAACGAAGGACACTCGATTGACTTTTGTAGAAAATGATTAACCGATTCTGATTCAACCGAAGTTACGAATCAAAATACTAATGTATCTTTTGATCGATTTTCTTTTTTACGGAGAAGAAAGTTTACATGCTATACGTTCAAGTTCTTAAATTCATCGCACGTTAAACTTTGAATAAACGTGAACAAAGAAGATATAAACACGACGCTGCACGAAGAGAGTTTGGTGAACGATAAAGCGTCTAAATGCGGACGAAAGTCACCTTGCTCGGAAAAAGCAAGAAGAGAAAGTGTTCAGGTTCGCGACAGTGTATCAACCAGTATAGTTATTGTCTTCGATAAAATTTCTTTCATTCAAACAAAAAAGTAAAGAAAAAAAAACAATAAAAACAAAATAAATACAAGAATATAAAAATAAATTCAATCGAAAAATAAAGAAGAAGAACAACAACAACAAAAAAATAGAAAAAACGGATAAAATAAAGAAGATAAGAAAAAAATGAAGAAGGACAAGAAAAAGAAATTGACTTGAATACTTAGTATTTGTTAAAAAAGAAAAATAATGCGATTAAGCGAACGAATAAGTTGATGCGTTAACTCGCGTTGCTAGCTCGTGCGAAACTGACGAACGAGAAGGCTTTTCAACGACGATTCTTCGTGAGTTTTGCGCTGCTTTTGCTTATACTAATGCGCGTTCACCATCCGCGGTCGCCGGAGAGTATTGAGAGGTGGAGATAGAGAAGGTGGTGGTGGTGGTGATGTGGTGGTGGTTGCTGGATGCTTGTGAAAGGCGAAGAGGACGGAGGGAAGAATCGAAGCTGTACGAAGGCGCCTCGACGGAGAACGCGACGAGGCGTCGCCACCAGTGGAGTCCATCTTGGCGTCGCGACATCCGAGGAAACGGGATCTCTTTATATGAGTTATTTATGTGTCTATATATATGTGTATGTGTATGTGTATGTGTATGTGTATGTGTATGTGTATGTGTATGTGTATGTGTATGTGTATGTGTATGTGTCTGTGTATGTGCATGTGTATGTGTATGTGTACCCTTACCAACTACGTATGTACACATGAATATCGTCTAATGATCTCCAAGAAAATCTTTAGTTGTTCCTTCTACCTTTTATGGATTTTATTTTATCTCTTTTTTATTGCTACTTGCAATAATTATTAATGTAATTCCTTTCATGTGGTAAGACTCTTGATACATCGTTTGTGGGAAGTTTAATTTTATATAGGCTAAAATGATCAAGATTAATTTATTGTTCTTAATATAATTTCGAAAATAGCCTTGTATTATGAATTTATAATTGTGCGTAATTATGATTTATAAGTAAAAATAATATCTAATATTATATAATTTTGTACAAGTTGCAACATTTTTTCCAAATCAAATACTACTATTTGATAATAACTTTTATTATTTGTAAACGATCATAGAAATCCTTGGAGAGAAATGGATATTTTTGTATTTCTAAAAGTTATTAAAATATGATATTCATTTATTTTAAAGATTTTTATCTTACATCATTGTTTCTAATTTATTCATATTGTAATTTATTGATTTATCCGAAAAAACTATTTGAGTATTATTGAGAAAAAATAAAAATCTCGAATTAATATATTAATTAATAAAAATAATAAATTTTCCTTGTTATCGACTCTTTCACCATAATGGTTTCCGAAGTCGTAGAAAAAAATAATAAAACGAGTATGAATTCATTGACCTCAATTAAGGCACATTCTCTTAAAAGAATCATCGGGCAACTGCATCGGAATGGTAAATGTTCGTGATACTATGTATAATAATTTCCACATAAAGTGGCTTAAATTTAATAAATTTCTTGATTGTTACGAGCTAATCGTTGAAATTAGTCGAGCAACGTGATTCCGTCTCTTTTTGTCCTGTTAGTTGTTTGAGTGAATATTATCAAATCTGGTTTTTTATTTGACTGTCCGCGACAAGCTTGAAACGAAAGATCTTGATCTTCTTTTTACACGTAATTTTAAAATAATAAATATATAAAGTTTATATAAAATATTTTCATGTTATATGTAATTCGTAAATGTTTTAAAAAGCTTTTATCTTTTCTTTTTTTTTTACGTCATTGATTAAAAAATGCTTCAAATTTTACCGTCAATTATTTTATAACTGGCTATAAACGTTTTTAATTGTCATGATTAATGAATGATGTTATAATTGAAGAATCCCGGTCACGTTAATTTCGTGTGAATGAACTATAATTTAAGAATATTGTTATTATTTTTCCTTTATTATTTTATTGTTTAAGTTACGATATCGTATCGATAACTGGAAATCGATTGGACAAAAAGACTTTATAAGACGTAAGCACAGTGAATTTCCTTTCTTTTTAAAAATTAAATGATGGACTTTTTGAGACTTTGGAATATTTGAAAAAAAAAAATCTCGGTATCTTCGTTTTGCTCATGATGACCTATGATAGTCGGTCATGGATTTTATTATACGTATGTATAAGTAATGGCTTCAGTTTATCAGAGATTACAATGTAAGCAATGTAAGTATTGTATCTATTGATGCTGTGAATACACTTGGAAATAATTTGAATTGAATGGATCCGTCAATGGAATATTCTCATGCTGATAAAATGCCGCAGATATATTCGATGTAATTAGAAAGTAACAAAGTTTTATCAAAGTCCGAACTAATGAGACTGTCAATCTATAAATTTATGGATACCCATTAATTATACAATGGTAACGATAATGATAATATAATCATTTTGAACACATTTATATAAGATAAAAACTAGACATCGAGACGATAATTCATAATTATTATAATTTTCTTCTTCGTTGTTTGAAGTTATAAAATAGTATTAATTTTAATTATAAACTAAAGATTATTGTATTAAAATACAATACATTAGTTTAATCTTTTTTATAGATCTAAAAAAAAATAGATAATTTAAAAAAGAAAAAAGAAGAAAACCAATATTTATAACTTATCATATATAATTTGAAAACTTAATTAACTTTCAATTAGTATGAGAAAATTAAAAATTGTATTCTTGTTTGTTTATTTAATTAAAAATTGTTTTGTTAAAAGAACTGAATAGAACACCATCTGTTGACACACATGGGGAGTTAGACAATAACATAGAACATGTTAGAAAAGTAAAAAAGAAAATTTTAGAATCGAGCAATCTTTTTATTAATCTATAGTATGATTAATCAATGAAATTCATTTAAGATTTAAGATACTATTTATTACCACAATTGTTACATAGATAAAGATATTTATGATCATTCGCAATGATTAATGATGATACATATTATGAAACATAACGATACAAATATATTTATATCACAGTCGTAGATAAAGAAATTAATACTAATTGATATCTGAAAGATATAGCTTACATAACAGCGTTTAAATCTGTTTGGAATTCACAAAATTTATAAATTTGTTAATTGTTTAATTGAAATTATGTTTATAAAAAAAACCGATGATGAATTGCTAAGTAAATTCCATCGAGATTATAATCATCGTAAAATCTAATTAATCTTAAGTATGATAAATTTGATTGGCGAGATAACCAGTAAATTGATACTTATATATTCTTAATACAAAAAGGTTTGCTTTTAACGTAAAGATTTAAAAAAAAATAAAATGAAAATAGAATAAAAATAATTCTATTATCTATAATAATAGTTTGACATGTAGATGAGTTCTTTGATCTACGTTTACTAACTGTAAAAGATGTTAATGTGGATGGTAAGACCAGTCTTATTGCGATCGCTATTAATTAACAATTTGGACATGACATACTTTGTAATGTCAGCTTTGATTTTCTATTATTGGTAAGACATATGGATAATAGATATCGATAATATTTCTTAATGAATATTCAGTTAAAATTTTTGCAATACAATAGAATTTTACATCAAGATAGAAAAAAAGCACATTGCATCGGATAGTACAGATTGTCATTTGTAGCATGAATCGGTAATATCGGAAACTATATCATTTTATTAAAATCTTTCTACATCGTAGAGCAAAGATATATATTTGAAAGGATGACGATATAATTTTTAAATTTTTATTGAGGCTTTGATTTTACGATTTTATCTTTTTCAAATTCTTAATAATTAATAAGTTTTACATATTAACAATAGACAAAGCTTTATAGTAAGGAAATGTAGCGATCGACTTTACCGACTGTTCCAAAGAAGGTAAGTTCATATCGTGAGAAATATTTTTACTAGGAAATTTTTCTCTTATAATTGGCTAAAATCGTAAACATAGATCGCGTTAACAAATTCAGAGAGAAATTTTACAATTTCTACAAACAACATAATGCCTTGGAAGGGAAAGTTACAAGATTTATATCTACATACACATTACATGGGTTTTTTAACTTACGCATACATATATTGCATATAATATAATAGCATTGTATTGATGATTTATGATTAAACGATTCTTATTATAGATCGTCTTATAGATTCAGGATTTATTTCTATAGACGTATCTAAGATTAGAAACTTCAACGATCACGTTTATATAGTGATTGTATCGTCGGATAACAACCTCGAGCGTTTTTCTTAAAATAATAGGTAAGAAAAGAAAAATCGAAACTTTTACGAAACTAATTTCTGTTTTTAAAGAATAATCTATTTTTGTGAAATTAACATTCATGACCACGATATATGCCCATGACAGAATATACAAAAGTGAATAATAATGAATATACAGAAACGAGACAAGTTTTTAACGCTCTTTTTTTTTGTAATTTTTTTCGCTCATTATGTTCTATAATTTCGTGTCACGCTTCATGTATTTCTCATTGAAATACTCGTTCTTCGTTATTCACTGTAAAATAATTGAATGTAAATTTCGAGTATTTCTTTCAAGTTTCTAGCAATTTCGTCGTAATTCCTCGTATTTTACGAGTATCGATTCAGAACGAAACAATATGATTCTTGTAAAAACAGTCAGCCTTTTATCTTTATTATGCAGATTTATGAAAGGCGACGTAAAGAGTTCCGAAATAATCCAATATCCCATCTAGGGACGATATCCTGTAACGAAAATAAATGATTCCCCGAAAACTTAGATGAATTTCAGTCTTCCATTTATCCAATATTCGGAAACGGTATGATAAAATCTATGACGATGAAATCGATGAAATATCATGAAGTTCAAATAAAATTACCGGATAAGTGAATTTAATCTGAACTCGATGGAAATGCATCGATTCCTATCATCGTCAATTTTCCTTTGCAAATTATTTCCCTTTAATCGGAAAATGGGATATATTTTTGTTAAAAAAAAAAAAAAAAAAAACAGAAAAAACGGAACTCTTGTTAACTCCACATACGATGATACTCTCATTGTAAAAAAAAGAAAGAAGATTCGATTCGATATAAGGTGAAGAGGTGAAGTGAAACTACGAAGATTTCATGAGGTTGTCCGTGACTCAGAAACTTGCCTCGAGGGAGTTCTCTAGCTCGCTCAAGGCTGGCACCAACGTTTGAAGGGAGAAATATCGCGATCGATCGGCAGCATCGACGCTCGTCACGTGCTGGAATTGGCATGGCTGGCTTATGTTGCTCTTCGCTGGTAGGACGACCTTCTTCTGCGGCACCTTCTTTTTCTTTTTACCTGGCACCGAGAGACTTATGTTCTCTGGACACGACACTAGTCGTTCTATGTGCTGCCACAAATCGTTCGCTGCTTTCGGATTGTCGAAGCTCAATCCAGCTAAACGTGTGTGGTCCGACGAGAGACACATTGTGTGAAATGCTGGTCCCGATACCTGTATTAAATTCTAGTGTGGGTATTTTTTTTTCTTCTTTTTTTCTTTTTTTTCACCCTACAGTTTAATCTGTTATCTAAGAGAAGATAAGTTAAATCGTCACGAAGATTTAATTTAAGTTTTTTAATTATTAAAGAATAAATAAATCAATTTATTTCTGATTTCTATTAAAAAAAAGTTAGATCTTTAGATATTTTTTTGTTTCTTTTTTTATTTTTATTTCGGATAAAAATAAATTTCATGCATTTACGTTCGTCGATTAAGAATTTTCTTAGTTAACGGGTTAACAAATGTTCGTTCTATTCGATTTGAAAATGATATAAATGCAATACGATTTTAGACACGTTACATCTATTTAATGTCTTGCTTCTTGTCTCTTTTCAAATGTATCGATTATGAAGTTCTAAATTATAGAGAATTAAAAATGTAAAAGAAACAAACATACCTTATAGGATGAAAGATTATCAATAGTTTCTCGCCACAATGTGAAGCAAGTGCCTCGCTCAGCTAATAAAATCTGAATACGTCTTTTAGATCTTGATCGTGTTTCTCCAAGATCGAGGACGACAACCGGTATTCCGGTGAATCGAAGTTCCCACCTTTCTGTTTGTGAGGCGCTACCAAGATACAAGTTTGCCAGTGATTCGCATACGAATACCTGTAAATTCAAAGGCAAAAATAACGAAGTTAAAATATATTGAAATATACAATGTATATATATATATATATATATTTTTTTTTTTTCTGTTAAGATATCTTTTCCATACACGTTACATAACTTTTTCCTTGCTTAAACAACAAAATACTGCTTTTGATTTTCCATATTTGATAGGATACCATATTTGATATTACAATATATTTACATATATTGAAATATATATAAATATTCAAACATGTATATGAACTCGTTCATTCTATATTCCTTTGCATATAAGTACTATATAATAATATGTATATATGTGTATATATATGTATAATATAATATAATAATTATTTATTTATCTTTGTATGTGTGTGTGTGTTTATATATATATTGAAATGTATATAAATATTTAAACATGCACATGAATCTATGCATTATATAAATCTTCGTATATAGGTACTATATAATAATATATGTATATATGTATAATATAATATAATAATTATACAATAAAAATTATACAATTTATAATATTTATGCGTGGGTGTGTTTATGTAGTATATGTTTATAGAGTGTGTATATATATATAGATAGATATACTGTATATCGTATTTCGAATGTATATTGTATTCGAATGTATATTATTTTCGTGTATATTGTATTTCGAATATTACCTGTGATTTTAGTCCACGAAAGAACGTCTCCAATTGTTCGCGTTCCATTTGGCTAACCGGATCCAATCGTGATTCGTCGCTGTTTTCGGAGCTGTCGCTTCCTTCGTAGCTCGAAGTAGCGGAAGTATCAGCCTCACCGGTCGATGACAATCGTCTTCTAGTTGTGCCACTGTATTCGCTATAATATGATGAACTATGTAAAGAGAGATTCGATTGTAGTGTAGGACAGGAGGACGCATAAACCGGTCCGTTCATTTTTCCCTAAAAAAGAAAAAAAGAAATAAAACAATATTATATATTATAGTATTTCTTGTAAACATCGTTTAGATTATTTATTAAATTTGTTACGTTTTAATATAGATTTTTCGAAGTAGTTTCGAAAAAGAAATATTATTTTATAATGTTTTTATAATACTTCTTATATTTTATGAATGTATTTATTATATTTTATATAGAATTAATATCTCTCAGGAGTTTAAAATTTCGGCAATTTTCTGCTTATTTAGCGTCTATGCCCGTTTAATCGAATATGTCCGATGAATTACATTCAGCTAAATATCAGAAATCAAACAGTAAATAGACCTCAAACATACGTTATTCGACCGAATGTTAAACCTTATTTGAATGGAATCAAATGGTTAGAGTTTCGAGCGGATAAATGAGAGAGTCGGCTTTTCTTTACATTCAAATGCGTTTTAATAGTTGCACCGACTCTACTCCATTTATCATCCTTTTATATCCTCTCTTCCTTTTTTATCCATCAGTATGATATCGAAATCAAATCGATAAGTAAGCCATAGCAAAATATTACGCTCCATTTAATCTAAAAGCGAGGAAACTTTTGTATGATCGAGTAATAGTCGCTCCTTTTTCATGTGTATTTTTATGTTTATGTACGTGAAAGCTCATCAATTTTATGAAAGCCCTGGTCTGAATTTTAGATTCTTCTATAAATAGCTCAACAGTCTTTGTATATCGAGTCATTTCCTTTCGATTTTATCCACGAATGTTATATAAGTTGAACTTTACGATTAAAGAGTAGAGTCTATTAAACAAAATAATAGATACCTATAAGTATGATAGAATATATATATATATATATATATAATATGTATATATATGATATATGTATGCATATGTGTATATGTATACATACATACATGAGTACATACTCTATATAATAAATAATAAATAAAAAAATATTTAATAGAGATTACATCTCATTAGAATAAAAATTTCTGGAGAGTCATAAAAATGATTTTGTAAATAAACATATCATTGATTATAATGAAAGTCTTTCTTAAATAAGAAAGACAATAATATGTATAGAATAGGAGAAATTTAAAAAGCATAGAGATATAAAAATAGAAAGAGAAAGAAAAACTGTTTCAATTCGATCGATTTTTTTAATCTTCTCTTCGTTTTTCTTTCTCTTTTTTTTAATTGACCTCGGTTGTGCAAGAAATTGGGTCGTCGACTTCGATGCTGTGACGCAAGAGATACTAGCAACTTCGTACAAGAGCTAATCAGTCAATGGCGTACCGACAACGACCCACTTAACCTGAACGAGAAAAGCCCATCTTCTGATGGCCTTAATTTGATCTCACTGCTTATAATCACCTTACGCTATAGATCTTCTACCAAAGCATTTATTAATATATCGATTTGATATAACGATAGTAATTGAAACGCGATAGCTACGATCAGAAATCTATATCGGAAATGTATAGCTCACATTTTGTCGCGTTTAAGAAAAATGCAAAATTATTGTCCGAAGCTTTATAAATTTTTAATATCCAATTTCATCTCTGATAAATCAAAGATAATCGAGGTAATACGAATATGAGTGAGAAAATATGGATTTATAATTAATAGTAGGTAATTATTGTTCTTAGTATTGTATTGAATTTTATATTACATTACATTACATGATAAATTAATAGATGTTCACTTATAAACGAATACCATTTTGTTTAAATAAATGGAGGATGAATCAGAGTTTCAATAGAAACCACCAAAGTCTGTAAACGCCGTCACTGTACTCTTCGAATACTTTGGCTTTAATTCCTTTTCTTTTCGATAAATAGATCGTATTTTGTAAATTATCATAAATATCGAATTCACTTAAAAATTAATAGAAATAACGATTATTTGCTTATCGTGATCTCTTAATCGATAACACGATAACAAACGATATTCGACGATGAGTTCGAAAGAAGCAAACAATTTTTAAGCTTTTCCTTGTATTTATCGATGACAGCAATGATAGTTGATGCATAAATCTCTTCGGCGATTGAACTTTCCTTTTTGCATTCACGAGCATGCGTCATCTGTGATATGCTGATTTCACTTTTATCCGATGATTTTTCCAGGAAATTACTTTAATGAGATCATTATAATGATATGTTCTATAAAAAGAAAATATAAATTTTGGATGGGCTTTTAAGTTGATTTAAAAAATAATTTTTTAATAAAAAGAAAAAAAACAAATTATAGATATTTTAGAAAATCGAATGTGTATCTTTCTCTCACTTTCTCTTTCTCTCTCTCTCTCTCTTTCTCTCTCTCTCTCTCTCTCTCTCTCTCTCTCTCTCTCTCTCTCTCTCTCTCTCTCACTCCTTTCCGGTTGTTATTTTCAAAATGTAACTAACTTCGTATCAAAGTAAGCTGATGGTTTCAATAATGTGGGTGGATATCTTTTCCGCCCGAATGTATCATCCTTTGAAAAATGAAATCGATAAGGGTGAATTCTCTTTTGGTGATATACAATAAGCCCGCATGTGTTATAAATGATCTTACGCTATAGATCTTTTACTAAAGGATTTACTAATATATCGGTTCGATATAACGATAGTAATTGAAACGCGATAGCTACGATCAGAAATCTATACCGGAAATATATAGTTCACATTTTGTCGCGTTTAAGAAGAATGCAAAATTACTGTCCGAAGCGTTATAAATCTTTAATATTTAGTTTCATCTTCGGTAAATCGAAAATAATCGAGGTAATACGAATAAGAATGAGAATATATAGATTTATCATTAATAGTAAATAATTATTATTCTTAATATTGTATTGAATTATAGATATTTTATTCAACATTATAATAATAATTAGCGAACCTGAAATTATTAATTTTATTATTATAATTGTAAATACAACACTCCCTGTATATTATTATTGCAATAATTATAATGGAGTTTTACAGTATATGGCATTAATGTACAGAATTTAATTTACAGTATAATTTTGAATTTAAAGTAACAATATTTAAAATATTATTTTTCTAAGAGCACTGACATAATTACTACAACATTCATTATATTTAATATATTAATATTTTTAATATTGACATGTTCCCAATTATTAAAATCTTCATGAAGCGTAACAAAATAGTTATAATTTCTTATTGGTACTTATACAAATATATGAAGATATTTAATATACATACGTACATATGTATGTATAAACAATATGTTTAGATTTTCATATCGTAATATTCAGGAGATGGAATTGAATCAGATACGCTCTACATATCGTTTGATTCATAACGAGTTTGCTAACGAATATATCCGTGTACAGGCGTTTTTATGTATTGTAGGCGGCATATGTAATCACATCGAGTGTATATAGCGGAAAACTGTAATCGATTACGTTTCACGATGCACAATAAATGAGTTAGCGACATCGTCATACTCGAGTGGTTAGATAAATTATAGATTCGTAGATGGTCATCTAAGTACTTACAATAGTAGTAAGTAGGAAGCTTCTAAATAGTTCTAGAATTTCTTTCTAGAAGAACCTACTCTTGCGAGTAGGAAATTTCCACATAGCAAACGATCAGGATTTTATGATTCGCCAAACGGAAAAAAATATGAAATGGATTTCCTCGTTGGTTCTACTGTATTTTTTTTTATTACCAATGCTGATTATATATTATTGATCATTATATTATTGATCATTTTATTTCTTTTATATCAAAATAAAATAAAACAAATAATATAAAATAATAATAATATTTAAGCTTTTCTCTTTTTTTCAGATCGAATATGCTACGATTCCTTAAAGATATATTATATTAATGGATTTGAATATGATCGTAAACACGCGATTTTTCATGTTTTCATAGATATTCTATTATTATGCTAGATTTTATGACTATCTCTGAAGATTTTCGAAGCTATCAAATTTTAATATCTTATTTAATTCGTATGTTATTGAAGTGTTTCTTTACTATTACTTTATACGTAAAAAAATTGATCAGAAAACAATTTTAGAAACGATAAATAAATCGAAATAAATAATTTTTATATGTGAAGTTAATCTCGGCATAGGAAAGTAAATCGATTGAACATGTGCGATGGAAATCGTTGATTATTTCAATGATTTGAATTAGCGTAATAAACGTTCGATTGAACCTTACAAAGTTTGTACGGAAGCTATATTGTTTTTGTAATTACAGGTAATCAATACATTTTTTTGATAGCATATACTTTCTTTTAATATATCGATCGATTCTTGAAAACATGATTTTGACGGTATATTGCTAGTAAATTGTGATTATATCGCAAAAAATATTCGCGAAATTTAAATTTACATTCGTTTTATTTGCATGTCTTATCGGACTTCTTAGTTATTTATTTTGATAGTTTGAACCGATAGATTATTTTTTTTTATAGTTTATATGCTTGTATATCATATATAAATTGTTGTATTTTTTGATTTGTAAGTCAAAATATTACAAATTTTAGCAGCGGACATATGCATAGTGACACTATTATTTACAAGTGGCAGAATCGTTTTTTACTTTATTGGTTGGCTGCTTGCTTCGACGCCATTTTTATTTCCGTCGGCGTTAAAGAGTTGCACGGGAAATTATCTTGTCGTCCTAATTACAACTAATTAGTATATTTCCTTCCAATGTACACCTTTTCTTAATGTATTAATTGACTGCTAAATGCCGAAGTCGTATTTAAGAAATGTTAGTAAAATTAATATCTTAATATATATTTTAATTACTTGACATTAATATAGGTATTTGTTAATATTTTTTCTTAAATTTTCAAGTTTTTTCTTTGCGATATTTTGCTTGTATTTTAATGTTGTTTATTATTTAATTAATCTCGAAGTTCACTTAATTTCACTTAAATTTCACTTAATACTTTTTTTATATGCATTGTATATATATAAACACGATAATGACGATATGTATACAAAAATTGATTTTATTCCATAATAATAATAATATTTCATTTTTCAGATTTCATCGTATTTTATATATGAATCATTTTTATATGTGAAGATTATCGATAGATTATCGACAGATCTTAACACGAAGTATATACGGTCATCATTGTTTATTTGTAATTGTTATACATTATGCATCAAGATAAGTGTTTCAAAGTTAAAGATAATGAACGGGCAGCAAGATAAAGCTCGTTTGGATACAACATGGCCCTGTAGTTAAACTCATTATGGACAACCCGCATGACACGTTCCGACGAAAAGTTTTGAGAAACATTCAGTATTTCTAGTTGCAATGAAAAGTTCATCAAAAGAGGAGCTGGTTGTAGTGGCTGTAATTTGTGCAGAGCAGAAAAAGCGGAAAAAGTGTATCTCGCGGAAACACAAGTTCTGGGTGCATGAAATATTTAAAAAGAAATTATGGCGAATTCCATCATCCATTCCAGAATTTATTAAAAGATGATATAAAATCTTGTCCACTTGATAATTTTTTAATTCATATTCTTTTACAAGGTCAGTAATTTTTTTTTATTTCTACCTGGATTGATAAGGAAAACATTCTCATTGTTTTCTTTATAGCCTTGAAAAAAGCAGCCGAAACATTAGTTTGTATACTGCCTAGATAGATTTTTCTAGATGTTCTTTTTACTCTGGAAGTAATCTTGTAACACTTGCGTTACGAAGGATGAATAACATCTTTGCCTTTACTCTTCCTAGTTAGACTACGATCTATTATTTTAGATAAAGGTTTTTATTTGTTAGAGGTCATTTATTGGGATTGTTAGACATGTTGATTCTTGCGCGTGTGGTTCTTGCGTAATTTTCATTTCTTTCTTAATGGCATTAGTACTGACGTCTGGACCATCTATCGGAGCTGTTTGATTGACAAATTCATTGCTCTCTTTAGAATCAAGTGTTATGTTTATAATCTGATTTCTCTCTCCAATATGTGGATGATAAACTACGTTATATTTTAAAACAGTTCTTGTTCAGCTACCTGTCCAAACATAGTCTTCCTCTTTTTGTATTCTTTTCGAAAACGGTCTCGAAAAACAATCTATTTATTTTTTGCACATTATAGCTGAAACATAAAAGTCAAAATAGTAACATACCAAAATATAGAAATAACGTGTGTGTGTGTGAATGTGTATATTTTACAGATCCAAAGTACATTTCGAACTAATTTTTTACGACTTTATATATTAAACTTTCAAAATAATATATATTATACGTTCTTAAGTAATCTATGAACACACGTCTAAAGCAGCACTTAATATAGTTAAAATATGATAAATATATGTTATAGTATAATTGTATTGCGCTGTAATATATTTACCTGTCAAAGAATCGAATTTTTCTGAAAATTTTGTTGCCAAGTGTTGTCGTCTTTCTGCTATCATAATATGAAGGATCTGAGACATCGTACAGGAATGAATACTCCCGCATTGATTCTATGAGTACTTCACTTTTGGTATATTGTAATAAAATTAAAATATAATATTAGAGAAAAAGATGTTCAGTTGTACGTGGTCAAAGCCATACTGGTTGCTCGAAACGAACGGAAATAATGTTACACAAAGCATTCTGATCGTTTAAGTTATTATGTCGATCTATGCCATAGTGAGTTACAATCCGTTTAAATCAATGCAAAGTAATGCCGCTTTCCCACGAGGGCGTGAACCAAGAAGGTGAATTACACTTTTGTGGACTACGACTTGTGTGAGCATGCTATCGGGAAGATTGCCTGTGACGTTAATACCTCCACGACTCAGTCGTGACTGAGGATCAAACCGGTTTGAATTTCAATCGTGGCAGTAGCACGCGTGGAACAAAATATCTACGCAGCGTTTTCGGTTTTGTCAGACGGGTTTTGTCGGGTTTGATCAGACGGAATCAGTATTTTATAATCCGACATTTAATGAATACAGGGATCGTGATATACGAGCATCAGCAAGAGTTTAACGGATTTCGGAGACTTTAAATACAAATGGTTTCGGAGACTTTAAGTACAAAAGAAGTAATTTAAAAATTTGTAAACTTGAGAAGTTCGTATTGCCAAGAATTAAAGAAAATCAAGGATAATCAAAGGCCAGGAAAATCTACAAATGATGCCTATAAACCAAACAATAATGTAGTTTACGAAAATGAATTCCTTTATTCATCCTTTTGTATAATGACGAGAAACTATTATTATTACACCTTAATATTTGATATTAGTGAGTACATTTAAAAGAGAATAACTACGTATATACTCATATAAATAATATCTTTCTTTGGTAAAGTAAGTAATATTTTCAGTTAATATTTGATTTAATTAATATTTGATATTGTCATACTCCTTTATCATTGAAATAGTAACATTTCTCATATTCCTTCTGCTTCAAAGTTTGCGTGTCTGTTATGCACTGACAGCAAATTCTGTAAACCATTGTTTCTAAATGGATTCTATGAACTGAAAGAAACATGATAGTTCTCTTCTTCGTACTCAATTAGGTCACTAGGTATATAGCATGGATTGATTTTTCTCAAACAAGTTGTGCAAAGTATAGCATGCAAAAACCACTTTGTACATTGTCTCTAGTTGCAGTATAATTGAATTTTCAAAAATTATAAATTTCAAACATGTTTTCCACGACTTTGCATGCTCTGGAAAGTCTGTAACTATAAATCTTCTCTTTTCCTGATAAATTACGTCGACTACAGGATTTTATAAATATTTTTTTGACAGATACGGATAATCTCTTACAATGATCGAATTAGGAGTTCGGTAAGAGCATCGATTTCTAAAGCAGTATTAGTATAAATAAATTATTTTGAAATGTCTTCATATGATCTTTTTTTAGCTCTAACGTAGGTATATCGGAAGCAATAATTACTATCAACCAAAGCAAGCAATACGATATTGTAACTGTTCTTAATATTGCAGTAGCCTGAGCCACTTAAAGGAGATTTTATGACGATGTATTTTCCATCGAGAGTTTCTATGCATTCTGGAAAATTCTAATGCGTTTTGAGTCCATATTAAATATTTTTCTTATATTCTTGTATCATCGGTACTTGAAAAAATTATTTGTGTTCTCATATGTTGCAAAGAAATAATACTGAAATTGAAGTTAATCAAAAAAAGGACAAATGATAATGGGAAATATTGTTAATGATGAGACTTTTTCTCACAAAAAAGAAAAAAAGCAGAAGGTGAGCAAAAATTTAGTCTTTATTTATCATGCTTTAAATAAACTCCAACACGAGCGGTACAAATTGCAGAGAAGAAGAATAACTAGAATCATTTCAGCAAATATTAGGATCGTTATTGCGAATCATCGAATTTCCAAATGCAACAATGAATTATAATTTTGTTTGTAAACAGAATGTGTACATCAACTATTCAATATCAATATAATAACTCATCTGTACCAAGTTTATATATTATGCAGTGAAACTTCTGAATATATTTATTCACCTTCGAATGAATTAACCTTAATTTATTCAAAGGTAATTAATATATATTAATTAATCTTTAATTATATCTATAACTAATCTATAAATTCTATAGGAAATAATTGTATTTTCTTATTCATAATTTTGATGTCAATACATATATAATATTATTTAACATATAATACATAATGTAATTTGTTTAGTTATATAATTTATTATTTAAATAATAACAAAAATAACAATAATAATAGTAATAAACATAATAGTAATCATTAAATTTTTTACTTAATTAAATAATTTTATTTACAACAAAATATAAATGGTATCAGAAGTATACGAGATAAATTTACTTATTGTGCTTTTTTAGGTACGGAAAAAATATTTTAAACTTTTAATTGATTCTCCTGTTGTTATGTAATCCAACATTACTGCTAATTTTGTTTTGTTACTTATCGCCGGTCATTTTAACAAATTTGCAAATTATATTTTTGTCATTTGTAATAAATGTTTAAAATCATCAGAATAATTATTTCTAAGATTTTTTTTGTATAAATGTAGAATCTCCCGAAACTCGACATTGTAATATCAACTGTCTAAACCACTATCGCTATTTCTTGTGTTTCTTTTGTTCAGTTTTTAGTAAACTAATAATTTGATGAACTAAAATAAAATAAATAACCTGACAACTCACAGAAATTATTATGTTTATGACTACAATTCGATTTACGCTGTTGTAAATTAAAAATGACACGTAAATAGTACACACTTTCCACTAACAAAAATGAAAATAACTAAAGTGAGCACGACAGCGTGATTCACGTTCGTGGTTCATGCTTCGTGAGTATATAGTAGCATAAAGTAACCGATGCTATGTTGTGTTGTGCTGCACTTCGGTGAGTTGTACTGTCCGCTCATAACGGGTTCCCTCCTTTAAACTTAATATATCTATCAGCATATGTAAAAAACTATTTTATAGTTTATTCAATTTATCATGAAATTAATGTAGAAGTCGAGGTATCAATACCGAACTTCGTAAAAAGAGCATGCAACCATTGTACATGAAAAATATAATATTGTTAATTAATTAAAATAGTCATCTTTAAAAAGGATTCATCCCAAGGATATTTGGATATAATACAACTATAAAGTTAATTTTTATTACGTCAAAAATGAATTTTTTCGAAGTTAGAATCATTAAAAAATAGTTCCATAAAAACGATATATAACTTTACTGTTTCGAAAAAAGAAAAAAAAATAGTCATTAATCCATAGAGTTAAATTATAAGTGAATCTTTATTTTTTACCTAAATATTATCAGTTACTAATTGATTAATATTCGTTTTTTCACTCTGTGTTTACTGCATTCTCGGTTATGCCTGTGATTAAGTACTATTTGCATGGGTGAACATCAGTTAGTACATGTTTAGTTTAAAAATCACTTTTTTAACGAATGTTAGTTTGTTGTATACGATGTGCATTTATCTCTCTGTGTGTGTTGTAATGTCGTGAATTATACATCGGTAAGCGAAATTTCTAATTATATAAAAGTATACGAATAGCATACAACATACAAAGTATATAGTCGATTTTAATTTTATATAGAACTATCCTATTATAATAAAATATTCGTATACTACTGGTGTGATTATATATTAATAAATATTAGTACTTATTTTGAAAGTAGTTTATCACGTAATGATCATTAATATTTGGCAATCAGTTACAACAAATTGATACGTATTCCTAATTAAGATTTTTAATCAAATGCGGAATAAATTAGAGTGATGTAGGTGTTATATCTTGGGTCATATCCCCTAGCTTACTTTTGTACTTTGACGGTATACGTGAAAATCATGGAATGTATGTATGTGTGTTGAAATGTATGTTTTATCTTTTTTAAATATAGGTATAGGTAGATAGGTAACATATATCCTATTCGAATACGATTTTACTTATATATAGACGAAACCAGATCAGGCGCCGTGTCATATATTTTCAATTCGGAAATGGAAAATCTTGCCTCCGGTTATTTGTAAAATGGTTGCAAATTTTATATCTTTCAACATATGTATTTCCTATATTTTGTTACTACTTTGTTAATACTTTGCAGTTTTACACCTTATAAATGATATCAAAATACATAATTTTTATTTTTTTTTTTTTTTTTAATATTTAAATAAAATTTATAAAATCCAGGTTTTTGTAAATCAAATTTACAAGAACTTTTGAACACGTTTGATATGTAGAATTAAATATATTGATGTTTTATGCATCCGCAATTTATGCAATATATTATTTGCCATGTATATGTGTATCTAATTAAGATTCAGATATTACAAAATATAAACAATTCTTTAAAAGTAATTTTTTTAATTTCTAAATGCTAATATAATAGTTTTAATGATTAGAACAAATATAAATTAATCTTTTATTTTTTTATTAATAAATAAAAAAGGACAGAAAACTGAAAGATTAGCAATAAGCGCAATCAAGGATATTTCTTATTTATACGTTCAATGATTATTTCATACGTTATACCTACTAATTTCAACATATTACAATAGTTATGTCATTTGATTAGAAACGAAACTTCGCGTAAAAATTTTATTCTTGGTCGTCGACAAAAAAATTGAATTTATTACGGCAAGTTCTAGGAAATCGATATTACTCGCGATCTATCGAATGAATGTAAAAGAAATATTATTTATTTCGTTGTTTTCAAAAATATGTTTTTTCTAATAATATATGAACATCGCTACAAATCATTATTTAGTACTACTATTTTTAATTCTTATCTTCAAAATGCAAAAAATATTCAATCTTGCAACAAATTTTTTTTTAATAATAATTACAGTTTTGATAATAATTATTATTATCATAGAATAATAATAATTAATATAAAAATAGGACAATAGATTCACGTTTGCAGCTGCATTTGAAGATATTGTTATCGCGCTAGCAGGATGCATTTTGGTGTGATTAGGGAACATCGTCTGTCAAGTTGAACATACTCGGTAAATTAATGGCTCGAAAAGCCATCCCTCGTTAGAATGTGGCAAATACGTCGGTAACATAGTGCCAGCACTATAGTAATCGTAAATGAGAAGTATGCGAATGAACAAGAATCCTAAATGAATTTTCTTGTACATCCTTTTGCCACGTGTCTTTCGTTTTCTCAGACAGGAAACAAGATGCCTTGTTACGCCGTCGTTGAATAGTTTTCTTGCGCATGATTAATCAGCTTGAGTTAGTATCATAACTGACAGACTTAACAGATCGGCATTATATATTTTTCGCAAAATAAATAAATGTTTTATTACTATAACTGTTTCTTAAAAACTTGATAGACTAGTAGATAGTAACCATTTAAATAAGCAGATACACATTTGTTACTTTAAATTATTTTCTTCGTTTATACGTAAAAGTTATTGTTCAGCGAGGAACATCATAACATTAAATAGGAAATAAAAATTAAGTATTAATAATAGAGTTGAAAGAAGTTTTAGATAATTCAAAAATTTTTGTTTTAAAATGGTATTAAAATACAATATAATATAGATCAATATACCGCTATATCGTCATTATAAATTGTTTCATAGAAATTAACTATTTTGTTACTATTTTATAGAAATCCGACATGTTATGGTATATATTTATTTTCTAATATATTAAGTATATCGACAAATTCTTTATTAAAAAATTAAAAATTTTCGTATATATAGTATACAATAATATATATAATATAATATATAAAATATAATAATTAATATATATATATATAATATATATATATACATATATATATATACATATATATATATATATATATATATATATATATATATATATACACGAGTATGTAATACTAGAATTACAAAATCAGTAAAAATGATGAATTTTAGATTTCTTATTTTGCAATTATTTGAATTATAGCTATTAAAAATATATAAATTAAAAGCTGTTTTTTTCTACAATATTTACTATTATAAGATGAAATAAACTAAAAATATCATTATTAATCTAATTTTACGATATCAAATTAATGGATGTAGTAAATATATCAATCTAATATAATAATATATATATATATATCGATCTAAATAAATATAAATCTAATTTTATTATATCAAATTAAAGGATATGGTAAAAATAGATCGATAACTCTAATGTTAAAAATAATTTTAGAATACTACAAATAAAGAATATAAAAAATAATTATATACATATTACATATATATTACATATATATTACATATATATTACATATATATTACATATATATTACATATATATTACATATATATTACATATATATTACATATATATTACATATATATTACATATATATTACATATATATTACATATATATTACATATATATTACATATATATTACATATATATTACATATATATTACATATATATTACATATATATTACATATATATTACATATATATATATATATATATATATATGTAATATATATAATATATATGTAATTGTGCGTTTAGCAAAAAAGTATTCGGTAGATCAAATAGATCCTTTGATAATTTTTTTTCAGTGATTATTATCTTTCTAATAAAAAATAGTCAGATCTCATCTTTGGTAGATATTATTTCGAAAGGGAAGTTCACACAATTGCGGTGTATTATTAGTAACTTCATTGTCGCCCAAAGGCAAAGGCACACTTGTACTCCTTTGATCTCGACATCATTCCGACGAAATCTCTCTCTCTCTTCCCCCTCTCTCTCTCACCCTATCTCTATTTCTCTCTTTCTACCGTTTCTCCTTTCTCTATACCTTCTGAAGTTATTCTTTCACCTCTTCCTTCCTCTCAGTTTCTTTCCTTTCTCAAGGCACGTCGTATTTCGTGACGGGACAATAAACACGAATACGAACGATGTGATCTATCGACACGACACGATTCTTGCTATCGGTTCTCTCTCTTTTTCTTTCTCTCTTTCTCTTTCTCTTTCTCTCTCTCTCTCTTTCTTTCTTCCTCTCTTTTTTCCTCTTTCTCTTTTTATACTTAGGCCCTTCG